AACAGCTAAAGTCTGTCTAGTACACTGGACGCGACAAAGCGACCGGGGGATTTCTGTCGGGGATTTGTCGTGCCGCGCCGCATCCAGTGTAGACCATAGATATGTATATATGTCTATGGTGTAGTGTAGACAGCATCACTGATTATAATGAGTTCTATAGTATTTTGTCGCGCCGCGCCACTCGCGTCCGGTGTAGACAAGGTGTGTCAACATTGGCTACCAGAAATCGCTTACCCCACCTTTAAGCATGACTGATGAAATGAAATGGTAACACTTTTCAATAAGAGTCCATTTGTAACATTAACTAAGTTGATAAAAGCTGTAGAAGTATTGTTCCTTGTTAGAGTTAGTGTTAATTTCAACATTTACTAATACATTTTTAATTTTAAAGTTGCTTCTGTTAAAGGATTAGTTCACCTACAAAATAAAAATGTCCTGATACTTTACCATTCCAGGATTTTTCTCCATATAATGGACTTCAATGGGGCGTCGGACATCATTGTTTTACCTTTTTTTTTTGTAAAGGGCGTTTGACTTTCTTTGCACGTTCACTTTGTAAACACTGCGTCGGTACTTCCGCCTACATCACGCGTGACCTTTCCAATGTGACTACGTAATGCGTGAAGTCGAGCTAGTGCAAGACAATCATTTGTGGTTAAAAAGTATATACATTTAAATTTTTTGTAGAAAATGACCAATTGTTTCGCTAGATAAGACACTTATTCCTCAGCTGGGATCGTGAAGAGCCCTTTGAAGCTGCACTGGCCACCACTGAAGTCCATTATATGGAGAAAAATCCTGAAAATGTTTTCCTCAAAAACCTTAATTTCTTTGCGACTGAAAAAAGAAAGATATGAACATCTTGGATATCCTTGGGGTGAGTAACTTATCAGGACATTTTTATTCAAGAAGTGAACTAATCCTTTAACATTATGAACTATGAACTAACTTTAATGATCAGTATATAATTCATATTAAAATATTGAATAAATTATAAAGTATGGTTCAGTACGTTTTTTTTAAATAGTAAAGCACTATTTTAGTTTTCGTTCAGTATCCATTTTAAAAACTATCGGTTGATTAACCGGTATCGGTCATTGTGGTCCAATCGGTATAGATCGATCTGCACAGCCAAAACCTGGATATTTTAGGCAATATAGAAATCCTGGCAAGGACGCGTCCCGTAAAAATGGCCCATATGGTCACCCTACCCAAAGTCCATACTGAATATTTGAATATTTTGTATTATTATTTTAACTTAGGGGAAAAAATTAAATTACCAAAAAAAAAAAAAGTACATTTTACAGTATGCTTTGGTCCAAAGAACCAGCCTGTAAAATAGGTAATTTCTGAAACATAGGCTGGTAGGATGAAACCATGAAGGATGAAACACAATTCGTTTTTCTGATGAAAGCGATATCTTGCGCCCTCATGTGGCTGTGAGAAAAAAACACAACCACTTCAGATGAATTAAATAACCCTCTAATGGCCAGTGAGAAAAGTTGTCATGAGCCAAGAGAGAATAAGCAATACAAAAATTCAAACCTGATTATGATTTGAATTATCTGGCAAAACCCAAATGAGTCTAGTTGTACATAATAGTTGTGAAGTTGTCACAGGTTCTGATATTCCAAATATTATTTTTTTCACAGAATCTCAACACTTTATGATCCCTTAAGGAATTCAGAATGTTAATGTGTTATTATGAGACAGCGACTATCTCGTGGAGAGAAAGCGAAGGGAGGAGGTGAGTGTGTGCCCGGGGTCAATCCCTGTACAACACTGACACACACCGATCCTCATCCTGACCAGACGCCTGAGGCGAGAGAAAGGAGAGAGGGGGAGACAAGACAAAGAATATGAGAGGAGAAAGGTTTGCCTCTTTCTTCTGTTGTTAGCCTCACCCCAAATCCGCCAAAGCTCAGGGTGAGCAGGTGGAGCAGGGTGAGGAGGACCAGGACACTGATGGGACCCCATCCAGGAGCTGTACTGATGGTCAATAATGAGCTCTGATCATTTACACACATCACCATCACATTATACAAATGCATATAAATGAGTTTTTCCACTATATGTGATTAATGCTTTAACATGATTTGAAAAAGTTTAATATTCAAGTAACCAGAACTTACCATTAATGAAATAATAAAATGGGTATGCAATATTTTATTGATATTAGTTGATTAAAACAAGCTTTTGGTTGATTCTCTACAGGACGTCTTCTGTACTGTAGAGGACGGTGATCATCAGGAACCTCTTTCCTGTGCTCCTGAAGTCGCCCCCACTGCAGAGGAGCAGCAAATGCAGGACGTCCAGCCTCAAGATCAGGACAGTCCAAGTCAGTCCATCAGCAGATGAGAGTGCATCACATCTGCTGAGACATCTGGACTGTGACGAGATCACGAGGAACAAGGGTGAGTTTACTGTCATAACCCAAAATTTAACACACACACTCTTCTTACAATATATTATTTTAGGTGTACATGTATAAAGGAAAATGTATGTTTTAAATAATGCATCTGTAACTGCAGTAACGTTTCATTTAGTTTTTTTAATTTTTATTTTAAATTACCATTTTTCGCAGTTGACTTAAATAGTCCTGCAGTGTGGACTTAAATAAAAAAACTACAACTATTTATCTTGTAATAAACCGCATTTCCTGGACATAGACCTTTGGTAAGAAGTTGGGGGAAGGAGGACGCGGCTCCATCTTTGAAGGGACCCGCTGTGAGGACGGCCTTCAGGTGGCTGTGAAATTCAAGACAGACAACGAGTCGTACCTCAGCCTTGTAAGTAGACTGTGCTCTCTGTGTCATCTCCTCTCAGTCACTGTTAGCAATTTATAACATCTTAGATTCATGTAAAACACAGAGTACAGATATTTCAGTAGACAAATAGACTGAGCTAAATCCTTATTTGAGAAACCATACCAGCTGACCATCATAAAAATCAGTCTTTCTTCTAGCCTGACCGTCCCAGTCCGGTTCCTCTAGAGGTGGCTCTGACAGTCATGGCCAATCAAGGCCCCCGCTGTCGCCACTACACTGGTGGTGCTACTTAGATTTGAAATCACTACATTTAGTGGTACCCCGTGTGAGGATACCTAACATCTGAAAATCACTACAACAGATGTCACTCAACAGGGTTCCTTTTCAGAGCCACTCTGGTCCCAGAGCTGAAGGTCCTGCTGCTGCTGCTGCAACCCCAGAAGAGGTTCCTGACATGATCGTATGGGTCTCAATGATTCTCGTCGTGTCCACCACAAAGGTTCCTCTCATGATGGGAACAAAGCTGGTGTCAAAGGCTGCTTCATATAGAAACAACATATTTATAAGGTTTAGTGTCCAGATGAAGTGTCATGATATATTATTACTTTTTGATTTAACATGGACGATTGATACAACATTAAAGGAGTAAATGTTTATCAAACAAGGAGAGACCTTTTACTAAAAACCTTTTATTTTGTAAGGTTGGATTGTTAATATCTACATTTGAGGGTTTTGATTAAGGTTAATATGCCACGGATTATATTATTATTATTTTTTTGCATTTTTTCTAATAAAAAACATTTTTTGAAATAAAACTGATGTAAATGTGTAACAGCCCATTCTTTTCAGTAGCTTGTTTACACCGCGAACGCTTCACCTTGTTGCTGCGGCTGCGCGACTCCAGAACATAAGCGCATGTGAATCTCGCGAGAGTTTGGCGTTCGGTGCCCAGACGGACCTCCAGAGCTGTGCGTTCACGCTGTACGGCGCGAACAGTGTCCAGCAGGGGGCGCTGCTCTGTTTCCCGGGTAGCCAGTGAAGCGCAGTCCCGCAGCAGTACGAGGGGTGCGTTTGATTACTGCACAACTAAATGGCGGATGAGGACAAGGCGCTGCAGCTCGAACAATAACACCTCACTTTCCCAGCGAAGCGCTTCTTAATCGTCTCAGTCTGCCGATGCAAATCCCGCATGCATAGCGTGCAGTCGTTTATATGTGGCTATAGATACACTGATTTAGTTTCGGCACGATTGATCGCGGATTGTAGCGGAGCTCCGGAGGAAGTCGGTCTCTTGATGGTGGTTGTAATATGGGGGACTCGCTCGGTCTGATCGGGAAGCGGCTGCTGCTGCTGCTCAGTGACGGGAGCTCGGCGGCGGGAGGAGGAGGTGGAGGAGGAGGAGGAGCGGTGGAGCAGGCGGCCTGGCTCCGCGGAACCGTGCGGGCGGTCAGTGTGATCGGGCTGGCGAGCCCGGGGATGGAGGTGAGACCGACACAACAACAACACACCGTCAATACATAACACAAAACCAACCCGTGCGAATAAACACTGAAGCTTTCGTCAGTTTCAGTGTGTAAAACAGTAAGATGTGACTCCAGGTTGCGTCTGAAATGAGGAAGAGATGCGTAGATGTGCATCTAATGTGTGTTTGTGCTAGTTAGCTAAGTAGCTAGCTGCAGATATGGACTGACTGAAATCCTGGAGAGCCGCCTAACTTACATAGACTGGGTTTTTTGGGGTCACTGATGCCGTCTAGTAAGGCAGCCACTAGTTTAAGACTGCAGGAGACTCAGTAAAGGACCCATTGTGATTAAAAACCGTCTCGCACAATAAATGCATATATCAGATCGATTAAACTTACTGACTGTGAATACAAAGGGAAAGGTTTTTATTCATGGCGTGTTGCCTGTGAAGTAATAATAATTTTATAAATGGTTTATTGCTATTCAGAATAAATAGATAGAAAATATGTGCTGGTATTTATATTCACACAGGCAAACTATATTAATAATCAACTTTTTGTTGTGGAAAACATTATTTTTTTGATGGTGATTTTTTAGAATCAGTTATTATTCATGGATTGAATTATGTTCGGTTAATTTTGATGGTCTGTGTGTAGAGTTCAGAACCAATGAAATATGCTGCAAGCATTTAGTATTTATTCAGCATATGGCCTGTGTTAGTGAGTAAATGTATATTCATATATGCACATGCAGGCTTTATGTTGTGTATTGGTTTGATCTAATTGTGTTCATTTTAACCATTGGTTAGTGATCTGTTAGGAATACAGTCTGTTACTTATTTGCGTGGCTGACATTTTTGGAGAAATGTTCACTGCGGTTCAAAGTTTGGATCAGTATTATTTTTATTACTTTTTTATTTACTTTTTTCAGTACTATTGATAGAAATTATGACTTTTTTCAGCCAGAATGCATTGATCAAACGTTACAGTTACATGTATAACTTCACAACGAATTTCCATTTCAGATGAATACAAAGTTCAAAAGAAAAGCCTTTATCAAATCATTCTGGAAAAAAATATTAAGCAGCACAGCCATTTTATTAACATTGGTGAGAGTAATGTTTTTGAGCAGCAAATCAGCATAATACAATGATAGTCATATTTCACAATATTACTGTATTTACTGTATTTTGATCAAATAAATGTAGCTTTGGCGATCATGAGAGACTTCTTTCAAAACATTAAAGGGGTCATATGATGCTATTTTAAAGATTATTATTTTGTGTATTTGGTGTAACAGAATATGTTGACATGCTTTAATGTTCAAAGAACACACGCCAGATTGTCATAGCAAAGTCGGAATTTACCTTTTTTTATTTTTAGAAATAGCCTTTCTGCACAGCCAGCCTTGTACTCTTCTAGGTTAAAAAAACTGTCGTCCATAAAATGCGTTGCACAAATTCGAACATCTGGGTTGTGCTGTTCTGTTGTAAATAAATCTTAACCAATGATTCCTAAATGCATCTACTTCCGGAAGGCCAAATAAAGTGCTTTTGCTTTCGCACTGAAACACAGCGTCTCCCTGACATGCTGCATCAACACTACTGCTGTTCCTGAAACCACGCCTTCTTTCTTTGCGTGCACATTTGGGCGGCATTATGCTAATATTTCCACATCCTGACAGACATGTAGGGGCGTGTTAGAATGAGCCGTTTTAGGTAGGCGTGGTTGACTCTTAACTTTTATAAAGAATATCTCTTTGGATTTGAGACTTTAGTCTTTGCAACTTTACAGATCTTCTTTATGCACCAAGAGCTTGTAACACTCCAAAGAGAAAGGAAAAAATGAAATCGCATCATATGACCCCTTTAAGAAAAATCTCGCTGAACTCAAACTTTTGAATGGTATGGTAATGTATGTACTTGTATTTTTAAACTCTACAGAGTCCTGTAGTAGCTTTATCCTGTTTTGTCCCTTCAAATGTCTCAGTTAATCAAACCAAATGCAGTTATAAAAACTGATTTCTTAAATGCTTCTTCATTTTTGAGAGAAAAGGCTTGCTGAGTCTGTTTCACTCACTGCATTATAATAATAGCCATTTTAACAGTATTAAAAGCACTGCTGAAATATGAGGTAAAATAAGTATTTTTCAGGTTTGGTGCTGATGTAGGGGTACCTGAGTCTTATGATGGGGCTGTTTGGGAACATAAGACAAATCACCGTAATCCTAATTACTGTAATATCCACAACAGATGGTCCATATGAAACTTTGAAGTGTGCTTGTAGAGAGCAGCATTTCACTTGATTTGTGCAGAGTTGCCAACCGTCTGTCTTCATTGTAGGTGTTTGTAGAGTTTGACGACAGCCCTTGGCGGCAGCGCTCATGGGTGCAGGTGTACGGGGACGAGGTGCGAGCCGTTCTCATGGAGAGTGCCATCGTCTGGGCCAACTGCAGCGACCCATCGCTGTCCGCTCAGTGGCCAGCCTTGGTGAGTACAGATGCACACTGCGCCTCTTTCCGAAATATTTTCCATATTGTCTGGTATCTTCATGTTTTTTTGTTGTAGTAATGGTTAGATTAGAAAAAGTGTTTCAGAAAGCTGTTGGAAATTGGACCTCTTGTAAGAGTAAAGATGTGGTCTGGTTTTTATTCACTCGTTTGTGCATCCAATTCTGGTTTCCTGAAAGCCATTTGTCTTTTGGCTCAATCTTCAGATGTTCAAACCGCTGGTTGACCGCGTGGGTTTGGGATCCCTGGTTCCTGTGGAGTTCTTTGGCGCGAGAACTTTGGCATTTCTCCCTAATGGAAGTTCACTGCACACTTTTGAGGTTGGTGATCGTCATAAGATCTGCATTGTGATCATTTTGCATGTACTAGTACAGAACTTTGGCACTGTAAAAGGTTCAAATAGAAATTGTTGAAATGTTTTTTTTTTTCCTTTCTTCAGACTGAAAAAGATTTTGGACACTCTTTGCTACAAGAGCAGCCGGCGCTTAAAGCTGCCATCAGCAGCTGGCACAGTGACTCTGAGTTGCAGGAGATCCTGCGGAAAGGTCAGTCGCATTTAACTATAAATAAACTCTAATGTGCTTGAGTAAACTTACCTGTGCAAAGCCTCAAAGGAAGTCGTACAAGATATTAAAGGAATAGTTCACCAAAAAATGAAAAATTGCTGTTTATTTACTAACCCTCAGGCCGTCCAAGATTCACTTTTGAGGTTGGTGATCGTCATAAGATTTGCATTGTGATCATTTTGCATGTACTAGTACAGAACTTTTGCACTGTAAAAGGTTCAAATAGAAATTGTTGAAATGGGTTTTTTTTTTGTCCTTTCTTCAGACTGAAAAAGATTTTGGACACTCTTTGCTACAAGAGCAGCCGGCGCTTAAAGCTGCCATCAGCAGCTGGCACAGTGACTCTGAGTTGCAGGAGATCCTGCGGAAAGGTCAGTCGCATTTAACTATAAATAAACTCTAATGTGCTTGAGTAAACTTACCTGTGCAAAGCCTCAAAGGAAGTCGTACAAGATATTAAAGGAATAGTTCACCAAAAAATGAAAAATTGCTGTTTATTTACTAACCCTCAGGCCGTCCAAGATTTTTTCTTCCGTAATGAACAGAATAAAGAAGATTTTTAGCTGAAACCGTGGTTCATAAAATGCAAGTCAATGGCTACTGTCACTTTGAGAGTCAAAAAAAGGGGAACACAAAATTAATACCCGTGACTCCAGTTAGTCTGCAAGAAACTGAACGTTTACAACATTACCTACCTACTGAAAAAAAAAGTCTGCTACATCTTGGATAGCCTGAGGGTGAGTAAATCAAGAGCAGATCTAAATTTTTGGTGAACTATCCCTTTAATCCTCCTGCTGTCCACTATTTTATTCAGACTTGGTTTTCAAACTGCTTGAAATACTGGTTAAACTTTGTATTTCTTCAAATATTTCCCATTTAGGGTCATTAATGTGCATACAAAGTTTCAACACACAGATGTGTTTTGTAAAGGCTTTACTTAAATTGTTACAACTTTTGTGTTGAGGTCAAATTGACCCTCATTGCTTTCCATGCAATTTGCCAAAAATCAACACTTTAAAAAACACTAACGAGTCAGGTTAAAAACCAACCAAAACAGAAAACATGTATATTGTAGCTTGTGAAATTCATGGGAACTTGTAAAATGTAAGACTCAAAGTTTACTTGAAATTGAGACCCGTCTTCTAAATCTAATTTCTTTTTTTTCGAGTTAAATTTCAATTGTTTTTGGTTAGTTTTTTGAATCTCAGTTACTAGGCTGTTGCAGCAATGAGAATTAGTGTGCGAAACCCATTTTCCCCTCAGGGATTTATGCTTTATTTATATTTACTTGTGGTTAATTGCACCTCAGTAGTAGTAGTTGTAGTCATGACAAAAAAATATGTCTTTTTTTAAACACCAAACATATGAACACAATAAAAATAGAAGGGAATTATTAAATTTCTCCCGTATTTTTTCTCTGACAAGATACAATAGAAATGTTTTTCTTGTTGTTGTTGTTTTTTTCTGTTGACATGAATCTTTAGTATTTTAGTATTTAACTGACAAGCTGATAATATAAGCTGCACTTCTTTTCTCTCTTGGACAGGATCTTACACTATTCAGGGTCGGAGAGTGCAGGTGTACCAGCCAGAGTTTGGGGAGCCCTGGGCCCTGGGACTCGTATCTCAGCATGATCCAGTTTCACACATTATGGAGATTACCATGGACCAGGTCCGTGTGAAAGGCACTACACTGTTTAGAATCTAATCAGTGTTACCATTGACTGATTCGTGGGTTAGAGATGATAAAAGCTGACTTTTGTGTGTGATTCATCTGTCAATCTTGGTTTGTTTCAGGGTGAAGAGACACAAGTCGTCGATCCTCGGGTTATTCATGTGATGCTTGCTGTGAAGCAGTTAGAGAAGGTGTGTTGGGTTTCTGTCTCTGCAAGTGTCGATTAGCCTATTATGCTCTTTTGCAAAGTCTTGATTTTGTTTTGAGGGTGTACTAGAACAGGCTCTCATAGGTTGTTCGAAAAACACATTATTTTTCACATATTTTACATTATTAAAACACCTCTCTCCCCAGTCTGGCATGAACGGCTCGAATAGTTCCTGTATCAAATGAAGGCCCGCCTTCTGAAATACTAAATGTGCTGTGATTGGTTAGCTGGTCCAGTGTGTGCTGTGATTGGTTAGCTGGGCCAGTGTGTGCTGTGATTGGTTAGCTGGGCCAGTGTGTG